AAAGCTATAGTGCACCCTTTCTCATAGAAGAAAAAAAAAAAAGAAAACTTGGCCCACATTCTGGAGAACTTGAATTGGCTGTATTTTTTTTTTTTTTTCAAACAAATCTCCGGGCACTCAATACTGATGTTTACACGTGTTTTGTTTTGAATTCGCTGTATTTTTTTTTTTTTTTTTAACTAATGACCGGACACTCAATACTGATGTTTACACGTGTTTTGTTTTGAATTCGCTGTATTTTTTTTTTTTTTTTTTTTTTTTTTTTTACCAATGACCGGACACTCAATACTGATGTTTACACGTGTTTTGTTTTAAAATTCACTGTATTTTTTTTTTTTTTTTAACTAATGACCGGACACTCAATAATGATGTTTACACGTGTTTTGTAATTTTAATTTTAAGTACAGAGTTGCCTCTCTCTCTCTCTCTCTCTCTCTCTTTTTTTTTTTTTTTTTTAAGGAATAAATTGTATTGTTCCGCTTTAAGAAACCCTGGAGTTGCCAGCCATCATAGGAGATAAAAAAAGAAAAACAGGAAAAAATCTAGGATACCAAGCCTAAGTCAGTTTTTCTTTAATGTGGCTTAGTACAGTTGCCGCATTTAAAACAATGGCATCTCTTAGCTCTTGCGTAGTAGGTTAAACTGGACAACAAACTCAATCGGGCACTCACTTGAAGATAATTTTTATATGGAACTTTAATTAACAATCTAGGCTTAATTTCATCTAGTTTATGCATATTGAGGCTCAAGGTAATTTGATTATACTTCGATATTTAGTCACAAACATAAAAGAGACAAGCTGAGTAACCCAGTACGGTTAGTATAGCCATAGACCCTGCAACTTGGTATCATGCGCTTAATAACAGTATATATATATGTATGCATGTACATGTATGTGTTTATATATATATATATATATATATATATATATATATATATATATATATATATTATATATATATATTATATATATATATATTATATATATACATATGGATACACACTGCATATATATAAATGCAAGTGCACACACACACACACACACACACACAACACACCACACACACACACACACAACCACACACACAACACACACAACACACACACACACACACACCCATCGTGTTTTTACATGGGCTATAAAGACTGGCAGACAAAGAGCCTGAGTCAGCAGACACCGTTGAGGCAAATCATCAAAAAGTCACGTTTATTACGCTTTATTCCGACATTCCGATACATGAAACAATAGCATACAAAACAACTAAATCCTATATCTTCTCTAATTCAATATTCTCCGAGCGGTAAGTTGTACTGCATTTTTTTTGGACACTTAACATGGATACATGATATTCCAAGAGAAATGAAGATACAAAAGACAAAATATCTAGTATTCATATGTACAGAGGTGAGAACTAAGTACATTCCAGGTGTACATACATATGACTGGCGTTATACAAGGGTGTATCGCACCGTTACACTACACGCTACTGTGACATAGAATACCTTATAACGTAATATATGTACAACATATATATTTGCAGCTCTGTTCTTGAAGAGGTCCATTGAGTCGCAGAAGAGCTTGCCAGAAACTGTAGTCTGAGAGTTCCTAAGACAGTTAACTAAAACACAGATTGTAAATCATTTATTTCTAAGACTAAGGAAGCTCTTGTAGGTTAGCAAACGAGGCCGTTGGGACACAAACTGCCGGACTCCTTGATATGTTTTTGTTTTACAGCGAGATACAACCTTCATACGTTTTACAGGTTTAGAACACGTTGAACACAGATCTCTACACATGACACCTTCTCACCACATAAATCCACAATGCAGAGCACGAAGAATTTTTATTTTTTTCACACACACGAAATAAACTTTTTTTTCCCTTTTACTTAACAATGATTGTGTAAGATCTTTTCTTTTGCTCCCGAAGTACATATATAAGAAACAATGCAATCACTTTTTTCGGGTGAACAATGGCTCACGCCTAACTATTTCTGATTAATTGGAAAAAAAAAACTAAACAAGACATTATTAAACTAGGTATAAAGAAAAAGTCGAATTTGTATGCCGTACTTTTGCAACACTTGGCTGAATATCCAAATCTGATTAAAAAAGAAAAAGAGGATGATTTTTTTGGGAGGAATTCACAAAACTGGAAACTAATAAAGCTTTTGTACCGACAGAATGAAACATATCTATAATACAAAGTGTTCCCCTACGTTATGCGTCTTTTCAGGAGAGAAAAAATGCACATTTGGACAGTAGAGTAGTGTTACTTCGGGCTTATCTGCACATGTATAAGTACTAAACTCTGACAGTAAGGTGCTGCAGTCCACCTGTAGACTTGGAAGCACATTTGAAATTCGTCTCCTTCTAGGAACGGAGATAAAAGGGCTGGTGATTTTTTTTTTTTTTTTTTTTTTCTCTCAGCCAGTCAGAACGGTACACAAGATGGTGACAGGCTGACGAAAGTTGCATATTTTACAGCCACTGGGTCAAAATGACACGCCTGCATGTACACAACAAAAATACTAAAAAATACGTTATGTCTACAACTATCAACAATCGTCCAGTAATTAACTGAGAAGTACATGTAACCTTACAGAATAATTCGGGGGTAATAACAGCTCTATTCATAAAGATTTCTCTAACATCAGTAATATAGGAACACTAGTCTTTATCCATCGTAACAACACTTAAATCACATATTTTAACAACAACATCAAACATATACAACACTGGGAATGATAAATGTCCTCCGAATCTCTAATGCTTTATCAAAATAAATGTCGATTATATCCATACCCATTATACGCGAAATATATACATACCATAGAGTTAATCCATTCTTTCAATGAACTACAAAATTGTCAGTAAGTCGAGACGAGGTCATGTCCGCCAGTTGTGAGAGAGCGAGAAGCATATTTGAACCTCTCTCACACCTAACGGCCACACACCCTCGTGTCTCCAAGACTTTCAGTGAAACAAATTCTACACTACTTGCAATCCAGCTGCCTCTTTTTTGAATTAGCTCGATATGTACCTTAATTTCCATTTGATCAGGATTCTTGAATGATATTACCTACGCAGTTTTAGAAACCAGACGTTATTTGTCTGTGTACACACACTTCACCTAACCTAGTTTGTGCAAGCAATGGTTCAATCGCGGGAGACAGAAGCTGTATATAAAATGTTTGTGTATTATATTTCTCACTTGGAAAGAAAAACTACCAAAGAATTCTACTTTCATAAACTGTGCAATTCAAGTGCGTTACATATCAAAATACTGGATGTCACCAAAGAGATCGTTCTCATGCAGGTTTAATTACTTAGCAATTTTATGATGATATGTTTAATTTGATTCCTCAAGTTTTCTTAATAAACTATTGCCAGGCATGATTACACTGATGACGTAACTAAATTTAAGGATGGGCTGTAGCTTCTTTTATTCATAAAAAAGAAAGGTTAAAATGGCAGTAGTTACTATGACGAGAACAGGGGTAACAGGGGAAATTTGCCTTGATAGAGAGGTGAACTGGCAGCCAAAATAGAACTCTGGTATGTAGACAGTCTATGAGGTCATATAGTCATAGTTCAAAGTGTTAGTAAGTTAGGTCTTTTTTTCGTTCTGTTTCAAACTAAGTACGAAAAAAGGTACAACATTAGACTTAAACCAATTAAGGTGTACATCACTGTCAACACAGGACAGTAAATTTGTGTACAATCATTAAATTAGATGTAAATCAAATTAGGGTAAATTCATGAAATGGTATGAAATTAAAATATCAGGATGGGTGGATAATGATATATATAAAACACACAAATAAAACATTCCATGAAGATATTTGAAAACTGCAGTATAGTGACATACTGAGTGACAAGGATACGTACAGTTAAGCAAATTCAAGACACTACACATATCTGAATTATCAAGCGGATATGTCACAAACTTATAAATAAAAGATAATATCTCTATGAACAATGAAACAACCAAGCTGTTCAGCCACCAGATGTCTCTCCCCTCGGACCGTCCCAGTGCTGGTTGCCTGATCACATACACCTGATGGCGCGCGCTGATTGGTTAGTTTGGCGACACGGCCGACCAATGGGCTGCGCTTACGTGGCACGCAGAGAGACGCGTGCGGGTTTGCGTGTCGTCTGCTCTGGTAAGGTAAGAGATTCCTAACGGCATTTTTTAATAAGTTTCAGGTAATTAAGGATAATACTATTGAGGTAGATGATCGTCAACTAAGTCACCAATAGTAAGAAAATAAGAATGAAGGATTATAAGCCATACTTCTATCTGCAGCAAGTAGAAAAATCACTCGATTTCTCTACCATAGCGAATATATGAAGTTTCTTTCCTCTTGAAAAGGCCTCCCCTGAAATGACAGTGACAAGGTTATTTGAGGGGGTAGGCTTAGTAACCCAGCATCATAAGGACGCTGTAAGGATAACGTGACGAAAGACTATAAAGATAACATGACAAGTGACCTAACTGATGACCGGTGGGTGTGAAATGAAAACGCAAGGTTAAGTACGCTCACACCACTTTTCATTACACGTCCTGGAGCTGATCAAGCACTACTTTATAAAATTATTTACAAGAAGCTTTATTCGTTACAGCAAATGCAACTCAAATAACAAGCCTGTCGATCCCAAGTCAGTGGGACTGTGTTACATGGATACATTACGGTTTTCACGTTATTGTTATTTTGTGTTTTTGGAGTCGCTTGAAAATATCTTTGTGGTAATAAAGTTAAATGCTTTTTTTTTCTTTTTTTTTGTGCGTGTGGCTGGTCTTCAAGTTCATATATTTTTTGGAAGAAGGAAGCCAGTAACTATGAGATTTTTTTTTTTAATGTGTTCTGCTACTTTCACAGAAATGTTTTGAAGCAAATGTAACCCTGTGTATCTTAAGTGTGATGAAAATAGTTACTGTTTGTACCTCATATTATGTATATTTGGCAGATTTGGCCACCTGATACTAATATAATGGAAACGCTTGTTTCCTCGCGGTAAGACAGAATTCATACACACATTCGTGCATATTAGGTTGGGATACGTATATTGTGGAATGTTTAATTGTTTCCTAGATATCCAAGTCGTGATCAGAGCTTTTTTCGGGGAATATTAGCATATGAGTAGATCCCCGAAAAAAACGTAAAATTAGCATCGTCATGTTTGTGTTTCAGTGCATTTTAACGTGTGCGCGTGTGTTGGAGTTCCTGTGTATAATACCACCGTATATTTCTAAGTGTGGATTGTGTTTGTAAGTGAAAGTGTTATTGGCAGTCACACGTGAGTAAAGGCGAGACAGCGAACTCAGACGTGTAACCAGTGCTTCCAGTCGAAACTAGGAGTTTCCCCTGTCTCCAGGATTTTATGGTGTTCAGCTTCCGGCGTGATGCTCAGCAACAGTTTCTGAAACATGAGTATATTAGAGTTCAGTGTATATGGTATTCCAGAATAGTTGTGTTGCTAGTTTTAATCTTCACTTTTGATTTGTAGAGCATAAGAGTAGATACTTTAACCTCCCTTTTGATTTAGAGTAGAGCATAATAGTAGGTACTATGATCTAAATTTCGATTTATAGAGCATGAGTGTTGGTACTTTAATCTCCATTTTGATATAGAGCAGAAGTGTAGGTACTTTTTTCTCCCTATTGACATAGAGCATAAGAGTAGGTACTTTAATCTCCCTTTTGATATAGAGCAAAAGTGTAGGTACCTTAATCTCCCTATTGACTTCTAGAGCATAAGTGTAGGTACTATAATCTCCATTTTCATATAGAGCATAAGTGTAGGTACTATAATCTCCATTTTGATTTATAGAGCAGAAGTGTAGGTACTTTAACCTCCCTTTTGATATAGACTAGAGCATAAGAGTAGGTACTATAATCCTTTTCATTTATAGAGCATAAAAGTAAGTACTATAATTTCCCTTTTTAATTATAGAGATAAGAGTAGGTACTATAACCTCCCTTCTGAATTATAGAGCATAAGACTAATTACTCTAAACCTTCAGCATAAGGAAACCCCCAAAAAAGTAAGACCCCAAACTCCGCGAATTCAGAAATGGAAACTAACCTGCCGGAGATTCCCTGGTTGGCGACAGATGGTAATGATCATCCACAGGGGAATCATACACATCGAGGTCGAGGTGATGAGCCAGCCTACCGACTCAGACCAGGCAGGGTAAGTGTAGTGTATTGGGCCGTGGTACTCGAGTTTGCTGGAGGCTTGTGATTGAAGTCCGATGACGATCTGTAATAAGGGAGTCCGTTTGTGATGGGTATTGAGGAGGGTGGGATTCACAGGAGTGTTTAAAGGGGTTTAGATTATTTGTGGTAGGTTAGGGAGTGTAGAAACTCCTCCATTTGACTTGACGTTGTAAACTCACTCACTCATTCATTTAATTACTCACTCACTCACTCAATTACTCACTAACTCACTTAATTACTCACTCACTCACTCACTCACTTACCCACTCACTCACTTACCCACTCACTCACTTACCCACTCACCCACTCACCAACCACACCACACACACACACACACACCCACACACACACACACACACACACACACACACACACACACACACACACACACACACACACACACACACACGGATGGATAAAGCATAAAATATACACATGTATGTATATACAGTGCATATGGAATGATTAGTTTATAAAAGAATAAGTAAACTTGGATCTCTGAATCCCTATATTTATTTATCAACACAGTTACATGGAGAATCTGAGAGCACGCGCATTCCAGTCCCATCACTCTATCTCACTCGTTTCACTATAACCTGCTTCCATGGGCTTCCCAACCCTTGCCCGTCTCTCCCAACTCCATTATATTCACTTTCTCACGAGGTCTTACACATCCACCCTCCTTCTAAAAGCCTCCACATTCCCTCTCCCCACCTTAAGACCCTCTACATTCACCCTCCTCCCCCCTAGCCCTCCACATCCACTCCCTCCCCCCAGCCCCTCCATATCCACTCTTCCCCACCCCAAGCCCCTCCACATCCACTCTCTCCTCCCTCCAAGCCCCTCCACATCCACTCCTCCACCCCAAGACCCTCCACATCCACTCTTCCCTCCCCCTAACCCCTCCACATCCACTCCCTCCCTCCACATTCACTCTTCCCCACCCCAAAAGTCCCTAGCCCCTCCACATTTACTCTTCCCTCCCCCCAAAGCCCCTAACCCCTCCACATCCACCCCTCCCTCCAAATCCACTCCCCCAAAGCCCTCCACATCCCTCCACATCCACTCCATCCTCCCCCCTCCCCCAAACCTCCTCACACACACACCCCTCACCGTGATAAGGATGAAGAGCGGAGACACGAACTTCCAGCAGACTCGCCAGTAGAGCATGGGGCGAAACCCGAGCATGTGTTGGATGTCTGCACTAAACCGTCGCAGTCCTGTGGGTGGTAAAAGAGGAGCTGGGTTGAAGATTTCGTCGGATAGGTTTTTATAGTCAAGTGATTGGTGGATTCCAAACGCAGTCCAGTATTTTTTTTAATCTTGTTTTTATTTATTTATTTTTTATTATTTTTTTCCAGATTTTTATATTCAAGTGATTGATAAAATCCAAACGCAATTCGGTATTTTTATCTATTTATCTATTATTTTCTATTTTTTAAATCTATTTTTTAAATGGCTACAACAGAGGAAGAAAAAATCAATAAAATTCAGTTATTGGATTTGCTTAATCTCTTGACAAGAAATTAAATCTGTTTTTCACTTCTCTAGAAGCATATAACTCTCGTCCTAAAATCTACGTTTTAATCAATCAGTGGATGATATAATAACCGTAAAAACATATTTCTTATTGACAATAGATGGTATGCAGTCAGTTCCTATATAGAAGAGGTAATAAATAGAGAGAAAATACGATAGCATTAAAAGGTCTTTCCGTAGAACCACAGTCAGTCCCATTTGGAAGAGGTGAAAGAAAGAGTGATGATGAATGAAAGAGAAAATGAGGAAGAAGTAAATAAATGAAAGAGAAAATGTGAGAGGAGATAAATGAAAGAGAAAATGAGGAAGACAGTAATAAATGAAAGAGAAAATGTGGAAGAAGTAATAAATGCTGAAAAAAATACAATACATCAAAAGGTTCCTACCATAAACCAGGAACAGCAACGGCCTCGAATAGGGCTGAGCATAGAAGCGATATTCCAGCAGCATACGTGTCCAGCCAGTGAAACACGTACATTCCGCCCTGGAGAAAAATGGTGGTTTTAGTTGAGGGTTGGGTTGTTAGGGACTATCTACCTGTCTGTTGTGGTTTCTCTCTCTCTCTCTGTCTCTTTCTCTCTCTCTCTTTCTCTCTCTTTCTCTCTCTTCTCTTCTCTGTCTCTCTCTTCTCTCTCTCTCTCTCTCTCTCTCTCTCTCTCTCTCTTCTCTTCCTCTTCTCTCTCTCTCTCTCTCTCCCCCCTCTCTCTCTCTTCTCTCTCTCTCTCTCTCTCTCTCTTCTCTCTCTCTCTCTCTCTCTCTCTCTCTTCTCTCTCTCTCTCTCTCTTCTCTTCTCTCTCTCTCCCCCCCCCTCTCTCTTCTCTCTCTCTCTCTCCTCTCTGTTGCTGTATGTATTCTTCTTTCTCTCTCTCTTACTCTTCCTGTGGTGTGTGTTTTTTTTTTAAGTACATATTTTTTATTTACATTATGAATGAACTTGTCTAAGTCAAAATCTCCCCCCCCCCTTCTCTCTCTCTCTCTCTCTCTCCCACCCTCCCTCTCTCTCTCTCTCTTTCCCTTTCCCTCTCCCTCCCCCCTCCCCTCCCACCCTCGCCACCTTCCACCCTCCCTCTCTACCACCCTCCCTCTCTCCCACCCTCCCTCCACCCCCACACCCTCATCCACCCCCCTCCCTCCCCACACCCCACCTCCCTCCACCTCTCCCACCCTACCCTCCCCTCCCCTCCACCACCTCCCCACCCTCCATTCCTCTCATCCTGACTAGACAGATTAGCAAAATAGACACGAGGAAGGACGACGTGACGACCAAGGCGGTGCAAGAACTCTCTCCTTATGGTCTTCCATCCGGAAGGTTAGGCGCAAGTTCGTCCATCATTCCGGTGATCACGCCACTCCAACCGCCCATCTGGGGAGGACAGTTGCAGATAGAAGGTATTTCGTGGAGTGGAGCGTATTTTAAGAGTTTAATGGGGCTGTGAGAGTCCTTCGTGGAGTTGGAGAGTATTTTACGAGTTAGATAGTGTTGATGGAGCTGTGAGAGTATTCGTAGAATAGGTAAGAGTATTCGTGGAGTTTGGGGAGTATTTACGAGTTTAGATAGAGTGTTGATTGGAGGTGTAAGGGTATCGTTAGTAGGTAGAGTATTCCTAGAGTTAGAGTGTTGATGGAGGTGTAAGGGTATTTCGTAGAGCTTGCTAGAGAGTATTCGTGGAGTTGGAGAGTATTTTAGAGTTAATGGAGGTGTAAAGAGTCTTCGTGGAGTTGAGAGTATTTTAGAGTTAATGGAGGTGTAAGAGTCTTCGTGGAGTTGGAGAGTATTTTAAGAGTAAGTTAGAGTGTGATGGAAGGTACTGAAGGGTGTGAGCGGCTATTCGTAGTTGCAGCTAGAAGGTATTCGTTGAGTTGCGAGAGTATTTTAAAGATTAGTTCGAGTGTTGATGGAGCTGTGAGAGTATTCTTAGAGCTGTTTAAAAGTATTCGCAGAGTAGGTAAGAGTTATTGTAAGCTAGCTAGATGTTAATGGAGCTGTAAGAGTTTATTCGTACGAGCTTGCTTGAGAGTATTCGTAGAGTAGTAGGTAAGAGTATTTGTAGAGCAGCTAGAAAGGTATTCGTGGAGTTGGAGAGTATTTTAGAGTTAGTTAGAGTGTGATGGAGGGTGTAAGGGTATTCGTTGAGTAGCGTAGAGTATTCGTAAGAGTTAGTTAGAGTGTTGATGGAGCTGTAAGAGTATTCGTAGTTGCAGCTTTGAGAGTATTCGTGGAGGAGTTGGAGAGTATTTTAAGAGTTAGAGTGTTGATGGAGCTGTGAGAGTAGTTTTGTAGAGCTTGCTAGAGGGTATTCGTGGAGTTGGAGAGATATTTTGGAGTTATGTTAGAGTGTTGATGGAGCTGTGATAGTATTCTTAGCGCGCTGTAAGAGTATTCGCAGCAGAGTAGGTTAGAGTAATTGTAAAGCTAGTTAGAGTTGTTGATGGAGCTGTGAGAGTATTCTTAGCGCTGTAAGAGTATTCGCAGAGTAGTTAGAGTAATTGTAAAGCTAGTTAGAGTGTTGATGGAGCTGTGAGAGTATTCTTAGCGCTGTAAGAGTATTCCAGAGTAGGTTAGAGTAATTGTAAAGCTAGTTAGAGTGTTGATGGAGCTGTGAGAGTATTCTTAGCGCTGTAAGAGTATTCGCAGAGTAGGTTAGAGTAATTGTAAAGCTAGTTAGAGTGTTGATGGAGCTGTGAGAGTATTCTTAGCGCTGTAAGAGTATTCGCAGAGTAGGTTAGAGTAATTGTAAAGCTAGTTAGAGTGTTGATGGAGCTGTGAGAGTATTCTTAGCGCTGTAAGAGTATTCGCAGAGTAGGTTAGAAGTAATTGTAAAGCTAGTTAGAGTGTTGATGGAGCTGTGAGAGTATTCTTAGCGCTGTAAGAGTATTCGCAGAGTAGGTTAGAGTAATTGTAAAGCTAGTCTAGAGTGTTGATGGAGCTGTGAGAGTATTCTTAGCGCTGTAAGAGTATTCGCAGAGTAGGTTAGAGTAATTGTAAAGCTAGTTAGAGTGTTGATGGAGCTGTTGGAGAGTATTCTTAGCGCTGTAAGAGTATTCGCAGAGTAGGTTAGAGTAATTGTAAAGCTAGTTAGAGTGTTGATGGAGCTGTGAGAGTATTTCTTAGCGCTGTAAGAGTATTCGCAGAGTAGGTTAGAGTAATTGTAAAGCTAGTTAGAGTGTTGATGGAGCTGTGAGAGTATTCTTAGCGCCTGTAAGAGTATTCGCAGAGTAGTTAGAGTAATTGTAAAGCTAGTTAGAGTGTTGATGGAGGTGTGAGGGTATTCGTAGTTGCAGCTAGAAGGCATTCGTGGAGTTGGAGAGTATTTTAGAGTTAGAGTATGAGTGGAGTAGTATGAACGGATTTTTTAAGAGTAGTTAGAGTATTTGTAGAGCAGGTAGAGTATTCGCAGAGTAGGTAAGAGTATTTATAGAGCTTAGTTAGAGTGTTGCATGGATAGCTGTAAGAGTATTCGTAGAGCTTGCTAGAGAGTATTCGTGGAGTTGGAGAGTATTTTAAGAGTTAGTTCGAGTGTTGATGGAGGTGTAAGGGTATTCGTAGTTGCAGCTAGAAGGTATTCGTGGAGTTGGAGAGTGTAGAGTAGAGTATTCGTAGAGTTAGAGTGTTGATGGAGCTGTGAGAGTATTCGTAGAGTAGGTAAGAGTAATTGTAAAGCTAGCTAGAGTGTTAATGGAGCTGTAAGAGTATTTATAGAGCTTGCTAGGGTATTTGTAGAGCAGGTAAGAGTATTCATAGACCTTGCTAGAAGGTATTCGTGGAGTTGGAGAGTATTTTAGAGTTAGAGTGTTGATGGAGCTGTAAGCAGGTATTCGTAGAGTAGGTAAGAGTATTCCTAGAGTTAATTACAGTGTTAATGGAGCTGAGAGAGTATTTACAGAGCTTGATAGAGTATTCGTAGAGCAGTAGGTAAGAGTATTTGTAGAGCTTGCTAGAGGGTATTCGTGGAGTTGGAGAGTATTTTTAGAGTTAATGGAGGTGTGAAGAGTATTCCGTAGAGTAGTAGGTAAGAGTATTTGTAGAGCTTTGCTTGAGGAGTATTCGTAGAGTAGTAGGCAAGAGTATTTTTGTAAAGCTTGATAGAGGGTATTCGTGGAGTTGGAGAGTATTTAGAGTTAGTTAGAGTGTTAATGGAGCTGTGAGAGTATTCGTAGAGTAGGTAAGAGTATTTGTAGAGCTAGCTAGAGTGTTAATGAGCTGTAAGAGTATTTATAGAGCTTGCTTGAGAGTATTCGTAGAGTAGTAGGTAGAGTATTTGTAGAGCTTGCTTGAGAGTATTTGTAGAGCAGGTAGAGTATTTGGAGCTAGTTATAGTGTTAATAGAGCTGTGAGAGTATTCGTAGAGTAGGTAAGAGTATTCGCAGAGGTAGCTAGAGTGTTAATGGAGCTGTAAGAGTGTAGAGCTAGCTAGAGAGTATTAGTAGAGCAGGTAGAGTATTCGTAGAGCTAGCTAGAGTATTAATGGAGCTGTAAAAGTATCCGTAGAGCTAGTTAGCGTATTCATTGAGCAGTTAGAGTATTCGTAGAGCTAGCTTGAGAGTATTCATTGAGCAGCTAGAAAGTATTATAGAGCAGCTAAAGTATTCATAGAGCAGCTAGAGTAGCAGAGCTAGTTTGAGAGTATTCGGAGAGCAGCTAGGTGTTTGCTACTAGCTTGAGAGTATTAATAGAGCAGTTTGAGTATTCGTGGAGTTGTTTGAGAGTATTCGTAAAGGTAGCTAGAAAATAAAAGAGAGCAGCTACAAATTCGTAGACCTTATATACTAAAATCAAAACTATATACTAATATTTTATACCCTAATATACTAATGTGCCATATACTAACATACCAAGATAAAGATACCCTAGATGCACGAACGCATTTCAAATTTCACTACAATTAAGTAAAACAAAGAAAAAACTAGTTAAATGAGGGTTAGGAAAAATAACCAAGGGATTCACGAAAGGTCCTAGTCTCTGAAATTTGTCCTTGACTGAGATTTTGCCTAAGACTTTGCGAAAATGTCGTAAACGACCGATTTTGTTTGACTCGACCTATGTTAGAGACGGCTCTAGAAGTGTCCTACGGGCATAAATACTTTAAAATTATCCTTTTGAGACGCCTACAACAATTTGCGATTTTACAGTTGTTGAAAATAACTCCATATGATGTGGAAAACTTTCCTGACATTTTTTCACTCATTGTCAAACATTATTTGGGGCGTTTTCTCATTTACTGCTGTTTTTTTCGTACATAAATGCAAATGGCGGTGCGCGCCTTTTCAGCTGACGCGATCATAACAAATCTAGATATTAGTTGTGTAATTTTATAGTCATTATACCATTGAGATTCATTATTACACTAAATTATTATGATAAGGTCTGAAATGTAAATATAAGGTAGTTAAGTGTTAACTTGTGACAACAGTGAGACTCATAGACAAAAATCGTTAAATATTTAGACGAAATCACAGACGAATTTGGACAGTTTTTTTTTTTTTTTTTTCTTGTTTTAAGGACAGTTCTTAAATCTGTCAAAAGAAAATTCGATGACCTGGCTTGAATACCGCCACAAGGAAGGTAAAAATTCACGCAAATTGCCGTGATTGGTATTGGATAGTTGTTAGTGATAATGTTATTGTTTTGGTTGTTGCTATTAGTGTTGTTATTATTGTTACCGGTGTTGGGTTTATTGACATTATCATTATTTTGTTGTTATTATCATTATTATTAGTAGTAGTAGTAGTTATTATCATTATTATTAGTAGTAGTATTATTATCATTATTATTATTATTAGTAGTAATTATTATCATCATTATTATTATTGGTAGTAGTAATTATTATTATCATTATTATTATTAGTAGTAGTAATTATTATCATTATTATTATTAGTAGTAGTAGTAATTATTATTATCATTATTATTAGTAGTAGTAGTAGTAATTATTATCATTATTATTAGTAGTAGTTATTATCATTATTATTATTAGTAGTAGTAGTTATTATTATCATTATTATTAGTAGTAGTAGTAGTTATTATTATCATTATTATTATTAGTAGTAGTAGTTATTATCATTATTATTATTAGTAGTAGTAGTTATTATTATCATTATTATTAGTAGTAGTAGTAATCATTATCATTATTATTATTAGTAGTAGTAGTTATTATTATCATTATTATTAGTATTAATTGTTATTATCATTATTATTAGTAGTAGTAATAGTTATTATTATCATTATTATTATTAGTAGTAGTAGTTATTATTATCATTATTATTATTAGTAGTAGTAATTATTATTATCATTATTATTATTAGTAGTAGTTATTATTATCATTATTATTATTAGTAGTAGTAGTTATTATTATCATTATTATTATTATTAGTAGTAGTAATTATTATTATCATTATTATTAGTAGTAGTAATTATTATTATCATTATTATTATTATTAGTAGTAGTAATTATTATTATCATTATTATTAGTAGTAATTATTATTATCATTATTATTATTAGTAGTAGTAGTTATTATCATTATAATTAGTAGTAGTAATTATTATTATCATTATTATTAGTAGTAGCAGTAGTTATTATTATCATTATCATTAGTAGTAGTAATTATTATTATCATTATTTTTATTATTAGTAGTAGTTATTATCATTATTATTATTAGTAGTAGTAATTATTATTATTAGTAGTAGTAGTAGTTACCATCATTATTAGTAGTAGTAGTTATTATTATCATTATTATTATTAGTAGTAGTAATTATCATTATTATTAGTAGTAGTAATTATTATTATCATTATTATTATTATTATTTGTAATTATTATCATAATTTATCCTCGACGCCTCACCCCAGAGTCGAGACCGAGGGAGATCAGCATAAGGAAGAAGAGACACGACCAGAACTGCGAGCCAGGGAGCGTCGCCACGGCCTCGGGGTAGACCTGGAACACCAGACCGGGACCTGCAAGGGAAAGAGGTTGGTCTCAGGGTACAGGAGTGGAGTCCATATTATCAGGAAATGTAGTGTTTACGGTAGCAAAACGACAAGCCATTGTGGTAAGCATTATTATGTATATTTAGGACCTGTAAGACAAAAGGGGGTTGGTCTCAGGGTACAGGAGTGTTCATGTTAATAGTTGGAGTGTTTACGATAGAAAAACGACAAGCCATTGTGGTATTATTATGCATAATTTAGGGACCTGTAACACAAAAGGGGTTGGTTTCAAGGTATAATAGTGGAATCCAT